TTTTTTAGATAGAGAACATTTATATACATGTTTAAGCCACAATGATTTGACATTTAAATGTGATTTCCATACAACTTTAAAGCTTAATAAAATACTACTACAGTGTACATGTGTTGCTATATATATATATATATATATATATATATATATATATATATATATATATATATATATTATGATTATTTAGCATATTTTTCTGTTGCCGCCCACTTTAACATGCAGGGTTTGATGGACAGCAGCAGCCTTCAGTCTGAGCAGAGGACACGCTACCACCTGGAAGCTAAGACGGCCGCCTATGAACACCCCATGATTCTGTCCGCTAACGTTAGCCGTGGACCGGGACCAAGGAGCAGCTTCTCTGCTTCCATGAAGAACGTCTTTAGAGAAACTGCTTCCCTCTCAGGTGACACTCATGGGTTCCTTGTTTCTCTATTCAAACCTTCTTTGTTCGCATCTAGCATAGCGCAGACTCCTGTCTTCATGCAGTGGCCCTGGAGCGGAGGCGGGACCTCAGCAGCAGCCAATACTCAGTGGAGGCGGAGCTCTTCTTACCTGGACTGGTGGGCAGCAGGATGCTGGGACTGATGGAGCAGAAGGGGGCGCTGTGGAGCTCTTTGCTTAGGGTCAAATACGGCCTGAGAGGTCAGCCAGAACCATGGAACTGCTGTTCTGCTCTAATACCTCATCAATAAACGATTCAATTATACGTCTCAATTGGTTTGGTTTGCATTAGAAACTGGCTGGAAATGAAATAAAATGTCGAGGATTTCAGAATCAAAGATGTTGGCTTCATAGTTCCAACATTTGGAGACCAGAGTTTAAGGAAACATGGCTTCCCTCTGCAGGCAACTCCAGGAACCTGCTTCAGGAGTGCTTCACGTCCCAGAGACTGAGGAGCGGGAGGGACTCTAACCTCACCTACATCATGAGAGCCGACCATGAGTTCTTCTGCACTGACACTGCATCCATCAACCATAAGGTGACCCTGAAGCTCCAGGTGGATTTAATGGGAATAAAAGCAGGAATATAATGAGAATAAACTCACTCCCACTTTTAAACATGGTGGAGAACCTGTGATGATGTGGGCCATTTTCTCTCTGACGACTTTTAAACCTTAAGCAGCTTTTTTTGGTATCTGTACTTAACTTAAATGTGTTTTTGCTGATGAGTTTATACTTTTACCACATTTGAGCAGAAATATCTGTACTTTCTACTCCTGACTTCCTCCAAAATGGCGCCTTACTACAACAGATGAGCATACGCTGTCAGGGCTAGAGATGGCAAAAGTACTCACTTTCTGTAC